CAGAGAGAAACTGAAAACTGAGAGAAACCGACAACTGCGAACTGCGAAACTGAGAGAAAACTAAATATATATATATATATATATATATATATATATTGTATATATGTATTATAATAAATAATGAGTATAAATCCCTTGAAGGATGAAGAGTATAAATTCCTCATTCTTCCTCCGATTTCTAAGATTACATATAGAAAACAAATTTAGAATCCCTAAAATTAGCACAATAATGGATTCATGTGTAAACATTAACTAGTGTAGCAAATGACAAGATTTCAGTATTAACAAGCGAGTTAGGTGGGGTAGAGAAGAGAGACTCAGAAAAGAGCTGATATATTATATTTTTTGCGTCGAACAAGGGGAGATATAGAAAGAGACGCGAAGAGAAGGAGAGGGAGAGGCGAAGAGAAGGGGAGGGAGAGGCAAAGAGATATGCCGGGACAGAGAGAGAGGGAGAGAGAGCGAGAGAGAGAGAGAGAGAGAGAGGAAGAGAAAGCGAGAGTGAGGAAGCGGGTGAAATAAGAACGTGCTCCGAGGATAAACAAGAAGGAAATAGCTAGGGATTAGTAACGATCGCGGAAGTGGTTGATAGGATGACAAGGCGTCTGGAGAGTGAATAGCGAGAGAGCTTAACCCTTAATGACAACTAACAGCAGCCGCAGACAGCACTGCGACATCTAAACTGAACTGAACTGCTGCTTCCTTTGCCAAACCCGAAGCCTGCCCACGCAAGGAAAAACCTCTACGAAAGCTATTCAGGTGTATATATAAATAGTAGGAATAAATGCTGCGTATTTTCCCATCCAGACGTGCACACAATCCACATAGCAGTCACGCGCATGCAAATTATACCATTAAAGTTGCTTAACCTCACAGCTAAATGCATATATAGACCTACTGTGAGCTCGTCTATGTTGCAAAAATTCACTAGAACTTATTTGTATTGCTACTTTCATACCATCTTTTCTCAAAATCTAAACGAAATTACTTCGCTTACGAAAGTAGCACCACAGTGATGTTTACACATCCGGAACACAGCGGAGCGATCGTTAACAGTTCTTTTCTATGATAAAACAAGTTATAATTCATTATTATATGTTTATTCAGTACAAAATTGTGAAATTTGTTTAAATCATATATCGTTATCTACATTACATATGCAATCAGGAAACAAATTTGTGTTTTCGTTCCAGGATTATTTGCGCTATGGCGTATGGATACTATTTTGCGTTATCTGGCACTTCGTACAAATAACTTGCGTCTGACAGAGTTTTCAAATTAGTAAACTTCGGAGCACATTTCTGGCTCAATGAGAACATTTCGTGATGTTTGCACACTGCAAATATGCTCACAGTAGGTATATATATGCCTTTTGTTGCGATGTGCATCCACCAAAGATTTCCGTTAGCAAAATGTTAAAAAAATGTCAATGTATTCATCGAAAGCAACAACAGCAAAAATAACATCCTCTATTATTCGCTATATTACGATGGCGCAAAACTAGCGTTCACACATATCAGTGCCGGCATGCACTTCGCACATATTAGCTCTATGCACTCGCGATGCTCGTGTTGATCGACTAGTGCATATAGCTAGTAGCCACGTACGCAGTTTTAGCGCACGGGCGTGGAGTAGATTATCGTGCGTTTGCCATGCAGGTGTGTTCATCCGATCAAAGCGCGCCAAACCATAATGCGATAAACGGAGCGGACATCGCTTTGCTTCTACCGTGCGCGGATCGCCTGCTAGTAGAATGGGCACACGCGCGAACACGCGCTCACCCACACGCGCATGCACGCGCACGCGCGCCCAGTCAGAGCGGATGAGCGCGAAGAGACACACAGGTACCCTGACGCCGATATCTATAGATATATATAGGGCGTGCAACCGTCAATGAGTAATGTAGATGCGTGGTTTCAGTCGCTACCTAACGTACACACAGACACGCGCTGTGGTGGAAGTCAACCAAGCAGGCACGTGTAGCAGAGCCATCCCAGGTGTCCTGACATCCTGACATCCGGACATCACAGCTGAACATATTTGCGAGAACTACTTAATTGCTGGTCACGGATATTGGCGCAGTAGTGCGGTGAGCTCCTAATTAATCGGTTATTAATTAGACGTTTTATTTAAAATAGATAAAATCGTTGTTGTGGCATATAGAATTCAGCGGTGATAGACGTTGATGTACAGGCGCGTTAGACTCGAGCTATACAGAAGTGAATAAGGAGGTGGTGGTATCGGTGGTATATAATAGCCGTCATTGTGAAATAGAATTCATTCGCACCTATGATAGAGGCTCTGCACAGGTGTTATATACTGGCGCTATGCAGAAGTTATACAGGTGGTGTTATGGTGTTACAGGGTTACATAGACGATGTGTGGCCACAAGGGCGAGATGTCTGATGCATAGTCAGCATTACATGTGAACAGCAGGATGACATGGTGAGAAGGTGGTGGGAAAGCCATAGATAACACCGGTAAGAATTGCGAGCGTGCGCGCGGGCGTGTATGCGTACGTTCGTGTGCGTGTGTGCGTGCATGCGGGTGTGCGTGCGTATGTGTGTGCGCGCGTGTGTGCATTCAGGCGGGTGGGTGGACACGCGTATGTGCGTAGGCGTATGTGTGGTTATTCTTGTAATTTTAATATGAACCCTCTAGGTATTATTGTAATTTTGACATTTAGTTCTTTAGTTATTTTTGTAATTTTGACATTAGTTTACTAACTATTATCGTTAAAATTTTTTATTATCTCTCTAGTTACATTTGATTAATTTTACATTACTCATTACACATTAACATTACTCCTTTAGTAATTCGTGTAATATTGCAATCCTGAAATCCCACCCCCTTGCCAAATTAGTTTTGACATTTATTCAACACCCCGCTAATAACAACATAATCCTATTAACCAGTAATATTCACAATTGTTCATTTAGCTATTGTTGTGATTTCTAATGCAAAATTTTACTCTTCCACAATACCAGGCAAGTCGTAAATTAGCTTGACAAAAACTGCAAGCTAAGAGAGATTCAGCTATAGTATTGCTACAAACGAGATACCTGGTGTCCTAGCAGTCTATACCATCTATCGCCTATCCAGTCAATCTACGATCACAGAGATTCGCTCACTTGTTTCCACCACCTGTGCGACCATCTCTTTTATAGACACCCCCCATCCATTTACCCATCCATCCACCCATCCACCAATCCATCCATCCATCCATCCATCCAACTATCCGTCCGTCCGTCCGTCCGTCCGGCCGTCCGTCCGTCCGTCCAGAGAGAGAGAGAGAGAGAGAAAGCGAGCAAAAGGGAAGGAGGGAGATTAGTGAAACCACGTGTGCGCTGGCGATGAGAGGTCTGGATGGTGTGTGTGTATGTGTGTGCGTGCATGCATACATGCGTGTCGGCGTGTCACGCAGCCTGTGGTCCGCGCCGACCACCAACGGAGGAAGGAGGCTGCCTCGCAAAACAACATCTCTGATTCCTCACAACACGGCGGTTTTTCAAGCAGCTGATCCGACAGCAGATAAGACGGCAGAGTCTCCGAATCTCTCGTCTGCTGTGGTCGTCGTCGTCGTCGTCGTTGTTGTTGTTGTTGTTGTCGGCTACGCCATAAATGTTTTTTCGTCAAACATTCATAGCGTTTCAAGTTGAGAATTCGAGTCGAGAACATAAACATCCGTGGGCCCTGCAGCAGAGAAAGCGACATCTGCCTTCCTACTTTTCCTTGTTCTCCTCTCCTCCTTTTTACTCTCTCCGAGTACTTCTGTTCTATCCCTCTACTAACATATTCACTTCCTGTCCCTCCCTATCCTGTTTGATTCGCGCTATCCTTCTCCCACAGTCTGTCATTTCACCTCTCTTGCTGCTCTTTCCCAACCATTGCTCATCTATACCTTTTTAACGTATTTAACGTATTCACTTACCCTCGCCATCTTGTTTCCCTTATTCTCCCCCTCTTCCTCTCACGCACTTCACCTTTCACTTTACGCTGCCCTTTCCTCTACTCTCTTTCTCTCTTCCCTGTTCCCCTTCCTCATCCCGTCATTTTCCTTTAGATCTCACACATAATTTCTTCTTCCTCTCCCCTGTTTTTTATACCGCCTTATCGTCGCCTGATTCTCTTGCATCTCCTCCTCCCCTCTCCCCACCTCCTCCTCCTCCGCATGCACCGCTCTCCTCCTCCCCCTTCCCCACCTCCTCCTCTTCCTCCTCCTCCTCCTCTTCATCTTCTCCTCCCCGCTAATCCTCCCTGCCGTATCTGATGACGCCTGATGACGCCTGCACGGGATTCGCGTAATGAGAGGATGACGAGACGACGAAATAAAATGAATAAAGAAAATGAGAGAATTAACATCTCAAAGCCGTGGCGTGCCGAACTGACGATTGTCATTAAAATGTAATCATCCATAAATTAAAAATTAGCTCCGTTTCAATGAGTGCTCCTCCTATGCCGCGCCTTCTCCTCCCCCTCTCGCTTCTCCGCCTCCTCCTACTCACCCGCCTCCTCCCTCCGACACATACGCGCCCCCTGCCTCACAGCTAATGAAAGCGCACCCGATTTATAAATTTAGCAGAAATTGAAAGCAGAAGTGGCGTCTGTGGCATGTTTACTTGTTTTGCTTAATAACGGTGTCGCGATGGCAACCGCTACTTTCGACCTTAGAGACGTATGGGACCTGATTGCGCAATCGTGCACAATATATCCATGCTTACGGCGCTCTCGCAAGACGATTTGGTAAGTCCCCCTCTCGTTCTCCACGAAAAACCACCTGAAAAACTCTCGGCAGGCGTTAAGTGCGTGTGCTTGCCACTCGCCGTGAACGAGGGAAGAAGCGCTGCTCTCCCGTATGAAGAGCTGGTGAGCGATTGGGAAACTCATAAACACACGTCCGTCCGTCCGTCCGTCCGTCCGTCCGTCCGTCCGTCCGTCCGTCCGTCTGTCCGTCCATCCATCCATCCATCCATCCATCCATCTAACCTCTCCGCGTTGCTATGGGCAACGTATGCACCGACGTCGCCGACGCGAACGTCACAGCTTCCGCGGGTGACGTCAACGTCACGGCCTTCGTGCGAGCGACGACGTCGCCGCCGCGATGTCAACCCCGCACGGTGGCGCACTCACCCGGCGAGGACGACCCGACGGCGCAGTTCGCGTCGCTCTACGTCATCGGTCCGCTGCTGTTCGAGTCTGTGGCGACGATCGTAATGAATCTCGTCGTTCTCGTCGCCATGCTGCGCTTCCGTCGGCTGACGACGCCGACGAACCGCTTCATCGCCAGTGAGGCGGCGCTCGACGCCAGCATGGGGGCGCTGCTGTTTTCCTTCGGGCTGCGCGTCGGCGTCGGCGACCCCGCGTTCACGCTGCCGGGCTGCGCGCTTGTCACGGGCGCGACAATGTTCCTAGGCGTGAACAGCACGACGTGTCTGCTGCTGCTCACCGTCGACCGCTACCTGGCCGTCACGATGCCGCTGCTCTACCGCTCGCACGTCACCATCAGGCTCGCCGACGCGCTCATCGC